GCCAGCTAAATTTCGCCAGCTTGGTCTGATCCCACATGAGAGCAGCGTTCACGTGGTCGACCGAGGCAATAATGTGTACAAAAGGTGAGTCAGCCAGCACGCAGAGGACCGTTTGGGCAACGTGGTTACGCAGGGCGACGCCGTCGATGTTGTGAACGACGATGAATACGTCGCATGGCTTCTTCATTGACTCCAGAGCTTGGCAAACTGCATAGCTCAACTCGATCGGGCTGCTGGACGATGATGGACTAATCTTTAGCCGTAGACGCTCGACGAGCAACGCCAGCAACTGCTTGACGCTTGCTGATGGTTGATAACCATGCAGCACTATATGGTTGTAGGTGCCGAGCAATTTCGCCTTGCGAAACCTTTCGACAAGGTCAAGCTTTGAGCCGAAGCCATATAGCAGCACGTTGAAGTTCTCGCTCATGTACACCATCCATTTGTCGAATTGAGACTCGTACAGCTGGCTCAGTTGCTTGGCGGACTTTGGCAATTTCTGATCGGCAACCTGCAACCACTCTCTCAACGCCGCAAAAGGAACATTCAACGTAGAGCCATGTTCAGACTCGCCTGCTTCCTCGTCCTCGTCTGTTGTCAACACTTTTGTCGACTGACTAAAGTATTCTTGCAAGAACGCTTTGCTTTCGCGCACCCCAAAGTTCTGAAAAGAGTTGCTCCCTGAGTCTGCGTCAGATTCGCCAGTTTCTGAGGCAGACGTTTCAATACCCAAGTAGCTCAGGTACACCTTCTTCGTTTGCTGAATGCTTTCCTCCCGAACCCGAAAACCCACGCTTTTCGACCTCTTGCCGCTGCGTAGCACAGGCATTGTTCCGATGATTAATTAAAGCACACAGTTCCTGAAATAAAAACGCAAAATGTCTCATAAACAAGTTATCTAGCTTACGACACTGACCAAAAAAGTTATTGCAATATGTATATTTGTGTGATCGCGTGAAGAAGATAGCAGCTCAAAATTCGATTTACACATAGCAATGGTTTAATCCAAATTGCCACACGCAGAAACAAGTTCAGTTGTTGTACACAAAAATTTTTACATGCTTATGCATCGTCCAAAACCCACAGTATGTTTAACCTGGACGAGTGCAAACTAACGCTTCCCAAAAAACCATTGGACTTGATCTTCAAAATCTGCAAAAATAGTATCAGTGTTAAGAACATGTTGTATTTGCCTTTGCCGACGTCATACTGCTCGCCATTGAAAAGTAAAACGAAATGAGGAGGGTTCAATGAAGACTGATACAGAACAGGGAATGAGCGATTCATCTGTGGTTTATTGCCAAAACGGACGACGTAACGGTCAGTGAACGCCTTGCCATCTAAGTAGAGCGGATTCGGAGGAAGCCGGGTATTCATGTAAGTGCAGAAGCAATGAAACACTACCTCGGTATCCGTCGGCAGGTGTTCGTCCCATGCCTTGCCTCTCGGTACCGAGCTTGAGTCCCATTTGAAACAGCTGATGCACGAATCCGCAGCCAGCTGACGAAGCCGCGCCACCAAATACGACTGGTGAACACAGAGCTCCAAGTACGGCCACAACAAGCATATAGAGGCAGATATGTCAGCTCTGGTGGATAAATGTTGCAGATCGCTTAACGTGCATTCGCCTAACGTGAGATTGGATCTGCTCAGATCCTTAAGCTTGATGTCGACGTTGTCGATCTCAGCGACCAGTGGCTTTAGTATAGTCTTCGATATCCAGAACCGCAGGTTCTGCGCGTAAATGTCCAGCCGTTCTGCATTCAGTTGAAATTTAGTCCACACCACCGGCCTGACGCTCTTCACTCTGGTGACCGTTCCGTGCAATATCTTGCTGTACATGGTACTGCTGTCGGACTCAAAGCTGGAACTGACCGCGGGGCGATACTTGCTACCACTGACAGACAAAGGAGAACCAGACAGCGTGTCAAATGGCATACTGCCCCTTCGGCTGTCGACGCCACCGTATCCTTCATCCACAGTAAACGACGTCGAAACGGCGCTCTTGAACGATGGACTGTTCAACGAATTAGCAGGACTCCAACTAGTGGACGCAGCTGACAACGCAAAACGCCAGAGGGAACTGAACGAAGAGTTCTGATCCTTTTCACGGCGTGCCGACGCCGACGATTCATCGAGGTAGCGTTGCAAGCTTTCCGGACAGCTGTGGAAGCTTTGCGATATCTTGGGCGAACAGCTTCGCGTCCGTCGAAGCTGAGACAAAGTTTGCTGGAACTCGTCCTGTGATGACCACCAAGGTGGACTGCTGACGTTCAGTTTCTCATGAGCGTCGGCCCCTGTCCATGACAGATCATCGCCCTCACCGCTGCGAGACTGCAGCTGATTAAGCTCGCGGCCAGGGCTGCGCCATGAAAGAGCTGAGTCTGAAAGGTCCATCGACATTCCCTGCTTTCCACATGAAGAATCAGAGGAAGTAGGCTCGCGACGCCTGGAAGAGTTGAAAAATTCAGAAGATGAAATCGAGTCCCAAGAAGACTGAGTCGGTGGAACTTCGTCTTTTTCTTTTACACTGGCTGAGGCGAAAAATGGAAATCCTAAAACTGAGACTGAAACAGCCAATCACATTTACAACAATTAAACACTGTCAAACATATCAGAACTCTCGACTTGCGTCTACGAAGATATAACTTGCAAAACAGCCTATGCTAAAGCAACAGCGTTAACATATATAATATAAATGTATATTTATACATAAATATCAACGTATTAAAACAGGCTGACAACTATTGGCAAATTATCATAACTGTAAATGTTAAGAAGTAATACATGTATAAATTATGCTCCAACTAGTGCAATCAAAATCTGAGAATACTATGAGCATTTCTCTATAGGGTACCTAGATAATGACTTTCAAGATCAACCTCTATTTAGAAAGCGACGGCACTGTGAAGAAATCGACGACACACATTTAAGACTTGTGCCACCCTCGAAGGAAGTTGCACTTTATCGAATTTTCGAAGAGTTTCGTTCAATATCATCGTTGTCATCCCTTATCATCAAGGAGTACCGCATCGCAGTATCATCTCCCTAAGATAATTATCATTTCTTATCATGAGATGGGCAGTCAAAAATTTCAAGTTCTCGTTTACGTATATTTCTGAAGAATATGTATTGAGTGGAAGCTTTCTAAAACTCATTCACTGGTATAAAAGTGTATCAATCGACTGGTGGTACCACAGTACAATGGCAGCACCATTCAGCAAAAGCTTCGAAAAATCTGAATTTCGCATTCCGGATGGGTTTATATTTTAAATCTACAACTCACAGCAGATCAGGTCAGCGGCTTCAAAAGTATCAATATGGTAAAATAACAGTTAATTGCATTCCATCATACGAATTTACCTTATTGAATTCAATATATCGTTGTTACAATAATCTAGAGAGAACGGACAACTAGAATAACGCACACAACGTAAGTCAGACATATCCGATACCTTCGCTGATGCCGATCAGTTTCTTCTGCGTCAGAGTGAGACGTACTCGCTGCTCTTTGACACAGATTTTCACGAACAGGACGAAGGCGAAGAGGGAGTTTAAAAGAAACGTTACAACGACGGACAGTTCCATAAAGTAAACCACATCGTGGCTGCAACTCGGAAGTAATAGCTTCGCTAACGGTTGGTAGAAAATGATATCGAAGCAAGAAACAGCTGCGAGGAACGCTGTGAAATACAATCCTCTCTTCAAATTATCGAATCTAAAAAATAAAAAACCAAGTGATCCTCTAAGACAAGTGGCAAACGATTAAAATATAATTTTTTGCAATCACAAAGAGACCATGTAAAGATCCTTCGTAAAGCTGGTGGTCGTAAATGCATGAATTATACCCTAAGAAGTGTTACAAAAAAATCTAGTCGAAATTTTGGCCAGTGTTTTGCTGCTTAGTACAATAAACATACATGTGGATCTTAAGTAAATATACGCTCTAACCTGAGAAGCTCCTACGACTTTATTCACAGCTTCATCCATAATTTTACTGTGACTTACTCGTCATTTAACTTGCAAATATTTATTCATTACCTATGCAAGGACAAACAAACCTCTGGCAACTGTATTCAAACAATGTAATTTTAACTTCGACTTCAATCACATCATTCGACTTTCATGGCTTTAAACCACTGAATTTGAAGAATTCTTCGGGCTCATGTTCATGCATCTCCTATTCAAAATTTCCAAAATAAACTAACTCTTTAAGTTTGTAATAAATATATGCTGTTCCGGAAAGAGTAAGCCCAAAGTGATCATGCAACTCTACTACTGTCGCTGCACCAAACTTGCCAGGTGACTTAAAAATAATAGCAGAAAAAATAAACTAGGCTGGATTGTTTATCAGGCAGAGAAATGTTCTTAGAAACAGAGTACATTTTAAATCAAAACTTTGAGCAAAATTTGGTCAATCTTACACTCATACAAGTTGAACTGTAAACGAGAAAATTATACCTACCGAGCAATTAAAGCTTTGATACTGAGGGCTTCTTTCCAGTCTGCATTTTGACCCCTTCGAATAAAGGATACCATCCTTAAAAGCTTAGTTGAGAAAACCAAAACAAAAGTTTATGTTAAGTCTGTAAATACGCAATGAAATACTTTCTTTGGAATAGAAACGAAACAAAACAAATTTAATTTTACTTATGAAATAAATAGGAACAGAGGAAGTGACAAGAATATTCAACATTCATTTCAACAGGGACCATTTCAGTTGCTCCTTCGCGCTCTGTAGCACCTGAAAGAAACA